CACAACACTGACAAATCAAAAACCAAAATGGCACAAGATAACTACAACAACAAAAAAAAAAACTAAATCGTCCTTAAAAGTGAAAATCTAATAATTAAAATGATTTAAAAGCGTGGCAAAAACAAATTAATTAGGTATCATAGTATCAGGTCATCCCATAAGTTCTGTCCGGATTTTAATTATTTGAAATTTACTAGTAATTTAGAATGTTTAATGGAAATAAAAAATATTTATATATCATACATATGTATTTGGGCATATTTAAACTTATTAAATTTTATTTTACAGAATAAAGTATTTCAAATTTCACTGATTAAAGCCCTTTGAACATGGAAGTATCTAAGGAGCATTTGAGGCATATAATGCTTTACGAGTTTAAAAAAGGGAACTCTGCAGCCGAAGCGACTCGAAATATTCACTCAGCTTATGGAGAAGAATGCCTGAGTGAAAAAACTTGCAGAAGATGGTTTGCAAAATTCAGTGGAAAGGGTCGTATTACCTAAGAAGTTTAATTAATATATGTGAGATTAGTAATTCACTGAAAAGTATATGTTTCCCCCCTTACTCTGACATTTACTCCTTCTATGTTCCTCTTCTTTCTACTTGGATTGTTCAGAGGCTGATAATACATTTTGTAATTCATCTAGTTTGAGCACACAGCAATGTCTGTAACAATATATAGGTATCATCCTGTTCTTCATTGATACTTATTGTTGTTCCTCTTCTTTTTACTTGGATTGTTCAGAGGTTGATAATACATTTTGTAATTCATCTAGTTTGAGCACACAGCAATGTCTGTAACAATACATAGATTATATTTTTATTTACTAACAGTAAATATTTAATATAATTCCTTTTTTTGGACAAGTTATTATCCTTAATATTTTGATTCATCATTATTGTTCTGTGTCATTTGTATAATCATGAAACAAAGATAAGGAATATAAATTTTCTTATTTTAAATTGTCTCAAACTCGTTTAACTTAGATGATGTTTTGCTTCAAATTTCAGAGGGTGAATGTTAATTTTGGTGAATATTTGTAGGGTGGAGGAAGCATATGCCAGACTCACATTGACAGGTTTTTTAAGGCTGTAGCATCATTTTATCATCCTTCAAATATAGGAAGATGGATGGTAAGTTTTATTAATGTCAGGATTTTTACTTATATTTGCAGATTGGAATAATAATTTAACAGCTTCCATGAAAATACACCTCTGAATTTTTAAAACAACTTTTTTTTTGCTACACAAAAAGTTCCTCATTAGTTTAAAATTAATGTCAAAAATAGATATTGCAATTCCACTTTATTTATATGCTTTTCTCGTTTTTATTATTTAGTTAAAACTCCATCGTTTTCTGTTCAAGCTTCCAGCTGCTGTTATAAAACGACTTCACAGGTGAGATGATTTCAGAAGTAAGCAGTTTAAAATGTTCTTAAGACTTAGTTTTCTACGTTTTTCAGCTTCCAAGTAGGTTTTATATGTGTGTTTGGGAAAAGTTTAACCCCTTTTGCACATGATAGTCTGTTATAAAGACAAAATTTTATAATGTTACAGTATATTATAGTAGCAATCTCATTTCCTGCCATTGTTTATGTCAGTGTTAAAGGCTATACGTTTGGAAATTTAAAGGGTTGTGTACTGAAAGAATTACATGAAGTTTGAAATGTAAAGTTTCAAATATAATGTAATCTCTTTATTGTAACTGCATCTACTTCTCTTGCTTTTCCCAAGATTTAAACCTTGGTCTTCTCTCTGTACTTCCATTCCATTCTTACTAGCTTTCATTTCTGTTTTTAAGATCATGAATCCTCACATGAATACATCTTGTAAATCATGTCTTCTGTTGGTACTCGTCTTATTCAATCTCAAGTTTATGCTGTACCCTTTCAAAAATTATCTTACCCATCATTAGTTATGGTCACATTTTTATCTTGCACTTTAGGTAATCAACTTGTGTTTTGATCATTGTGTTTTAACAATATTTTTGTTTCTTAAAGATAAGGATCCCATTTGACAATTAAATAAATTAATATTATAATCAGCTTTACAGTGGAAATGTGTTGTTTGTTTTAAGCAATTAAAACTGTGGTGTTTCAGCCCATAGAAGTGGGCCATCTTCAGGCAATGTGTGATTAACAAGAACTATGTATTCAAAATGTAATTATTACTCTCAGCAGTGCCATTGTTTAATTATAAATATTTAACATAGGTGGCAATAATTATTTACAAAATGTATGAAAATTCAAAACATAAAAAACTCTAACTTGGAATTATATGCATTATAATTAGTATAGATAGATAGAAGCTCCAGAAAATTTGTTGAAAGTTTTTAATATTTTGATTCATAAAGCTTCTGCAACTTTTTTCTCATAGAATTTCAATGTTTATTTTTTTTTTGGATATGGAGTGTTTTTTTCTTAAATGTTCCTAAACTGATGATGGTCCTCTTTGATTATTGTGTTCAGTTCTCTTCCAGTTTACCTAAATAAATTCATCAACATGTGTCCTATTTGATTTCATATGTTATTCCTTTGATGTCCTTTTGT